TCGTTTAATTGATAAAATTGTCTTTTGATTTGATTTTGGTTTTTTATGTTTTGGAAGAATATCAGCAACGTCGACACGAAATGTTTGTTCTACTAACGGAATTGGTATAAGTTTTGGTTGAAGATCTTGAAGTTTGCATTCAATCTTCGATTTAACAATCTCAATTAAAGCATATATTGGTCGACGAATGTATTGTGTATTATTTGGGAACATTTCCGATAAATTTTCTGCTGATATCGATTCTTCGTGATATACTAGTTGTCGAAAAATTCCATTAATACCATTTATAAGACCTAATTCAGTAGCAATATTTTGTGTTAAAATAACAGGCATGCCTGGTACGAAAGGTAATAGACCAGGTAAATGCTCTGTCTTGCTGTCAGACAGTTCTAACAATTTTTTAAGCAATATTGCATCTTCGATTGCTTTGCCTTTACAAGTATCTTGAGCAACACATACCATCGGTGGATGACCCATTTGTGTTGCATTGTGAATTGCTGCCTTGTTATTTATTTGTGTGCGAATTTCATTTCGAAACACGAGAATAGGAGCCTAAAGAGATTAAAATAGTTTTTCCTTTACTCGAAAAAGTTGATTTACTTTGTTCCATGGTGAATCATGTAGAGATTCTATTGATGGTTGTCCAACAACTCGTGTTTGTAATAATTCATAATCGTCATAATTGCATTGTCCACGACGAAGTCGATCGAGTAGTTGAAGATATCGTAAATCCTCTGTTCGCATCTGTTGTGTAAGTTTCACCACACAATTCATTTGAAGAATTAAAGAACGTGCAACACGTTGCTGAATTTCTTTTTCAGATAGTAGTTTTCCTTGTCTCTTTTTTGATGGTAATGAAAAATCAGTATGCAATGGTGAATCATAGACTGGTCGATATTGTAAGTAGTCACCAAAGAAGATTACATTCACACCCCCAAATGGAACTTGAGGATCGACATGTTTTGCAGAACAAATAATTCTATTGAGTTTTCCTAATAAAGTTAAGCCGACCATACTCATCTCATCAATTAAGAGATATTCAATAGGTCGCCATTCTTTTTCAAGTTTAGAATCACCTGGTTTAATGGTACGTGGCTTTCCTGAATTACGTTGCTCACCTAAGAATGAATGAATTGTCATGCCATCAATTTCAGCTGCTGCAATTCCGGTAGGTGCAAGTTTTCGCATCATTTGCATTCTTTTAGTAATGAGAAAATATTTTGTAAGAGCACGAATCAATTGTGATTTGCCCGT